GAGGTAATGTCATACAGCAAGGATCAAATCCATATAATTGTTGATATTGGGTCCTGCCCTGGAATACTTGCTGATCAATAAGAGTAAGGTAAGCAGTTAGTATTTTATGGCCCTTCTGCTGTAAATAATCCACTCTAATCCACATTTATCCTTTTGTGCTACACTACCTTTAGGAGACAATTTAGTGGGGAAAATAAGTAAATTTCAAGGCAGCAAGGGATCCTGCCAATATTCAAAAACCTCTTTTAGTTTTGATTCAAATACCTGTAATTCTACCTTTGCCTCTTATTTTAAAATAAGGGCTATCCAATGCTGTCTCTTCTTTCGGCATTTTAAATAGATTGGTTAGGGCATAACTAGGTATTTCTAAAGTGGTGAGTAGATACTTAACATTCCTTAATAATTTTTGAAAGTCACTGTGTATTTTAAAATTGTATTGTCTTATGGGCATTTGCGTTTGGGGGGGTGGGCTTAGTAATTGGTCTAGTAACCAGTTGCATCAGATATTATACAGTGTCTTATCATTGTACGTTTTCGAGTGTAATAATAAGCCCATTTTTTATGTAATACATCCTGAGTCATGCCATATAAGGATTGTAGCTCTTTCTATTTGGGGGTGACTAAGAGGATATCACCCATATAATTAATAGTATTGAATAAACAAGAAATAAAAGGAAAGGAAAGGACATGTCTGCCCCTAGGCATGGTGAAGGAGAAAGTTTATTATAGATACATGAGAGAGGATAGCCAGAGTCAGGGACAAGGACATGTGGGAGAGTCCAGAGTGGACATGACCAGACTGAGCTATGCCTTGTGAGGACAGAACAGAGGGGAAGGGAGAGAGGAGAGATGGGCCCCAACTGAAGCAGCCAGGTCAAAAATACAAAAAGGAATGGGTAACCAAAATTGTTGGATTATATTAAGAAGGGCAGCCCAGCCCCCTGGGCTGGAGAGTTCAGGACACAGTACAAGGTATTCCAGCCAGGATTGCCCTGTAACAAGTAGGAACTGAGGGATACAGGGAAACCCTGGCATACAGCTCAGCTTTGAATTGTTAAATAGGCACCTCAGCCATTTGTTCCAGGTTTGAAACCTAAATACACACAAGCTCTACTGCAGGCCTCCCTCAGAGGCTCTAAAACCTTTTCCTGCATTGTACTGACAAATAATAGGGAATTTTGTCATGCCTTGAGGTAACACAGTCCACAGATATAAGAGATGAAATTCTTTATGATTGAATGAAGGAACAGAAACACCAAAAATTACCTTGCTATCTGGATGAATATGTGTAGTATAAAACCAAACTTTCATAAATGCAAAACTATTAAAGGCCAATTTTTACCAAGGCTGTAAAGCCCCCATTGGCCACAAGGTGGCAATAAGATTTCATAAATAAATCAACGATCTCCGTTTGCCAGATTGTTTTTTAATCATAAAACCAGGAGGGTTCCAGGGAGAAAATGAAGGCTCTTTGTGCCCATTCTCCACTGTTTTCTGCCTACCTTGTGAAGAGTCCATACCTTTCTTTAGAAATAGGCTATTGAGGTATCCAGATAGGGTTGCTGGATTTTATGTAGTTTTTGGCCCCAATGAAAAATCGAAGCCATGCTAATGTTCTTGTCCACATGGAAATTTACGTTCCATAATCACTTGTAACTCTTTTTCTAGTCCTTTGCATGTTGATAAGCCAATCTTACCATTAGCAATTGTAATTGTGAAGAATGGGTAGCATTAGTGGTGGGAATATAGATTTCTGCATGAGCTTGTTTTAAAAAGTCTCTTCCCAAAGATTAATCAGAGCATGAGTAACATTTGGCTGGAGGACTTCCATTATGCTGTCTGGGCTCATACATCGCAATCCTGTACATTCTGCTTAATCTTGTTAGAGCTCATTTCAGGGTGGAAATTACCACCCATAACAAGACCATTTAGGTGGCCATTCTTCCATGGTTATAATAGAAATATAAGTTCCATAACCAGTAATCCTACAAACATTTTTCTTCTTATTTTTAAAACCAATAATGGTTTATCATTTTCCTTTAGTAAAGGGCTTAAGGCCACAGTCTTATTTGTAATACTCAAGTCTCCCTTACGATGCACATTTCTTTGTGAAAGGACTATATAGGCAATAACAATGACTGCAATTTTTTCTCTCACTTTAGTAGGCACTGTGATCATGACTGCAATTTCCCCAGTATAAACATCATCAATGACTCCTGTATGAACTATGATTCCTTTCATGAATAATCTGTTTGAGGCAGTATAGGTCTCCAATACTTAAAAGGATCATGTAACTTAAAAGTATCGTGAAGAGAGGAAACAGCAACACTGGAGAGAAAGGAATATCAATAGCAGCACTTCCTTGAGTAACAGTCTGTAACAAAAGAATAGATTGATTATATATGAAGCTGGCATAAATTTTATCATTTTAGATTTAAACCCTTAAATTTTGTGGAAATTTTAGGCAGGCCCTTAATATGTTTCCCTATATGTTGATTGGCACTGTTATTGTTGCCAGGCAATGTTTTGCCATCCTTATCATATTTAGACCAGCATTTCTTAACCCTTTCTTGCATAGAGGTCATAAGGCAGGAGCTCATTGATTCTGAGCATTCAGTCATTACAAGGACAATTTATAATGTTTCTTCAAGGGGCTACTTTGTAACATCTGTTTTTGTACAGCATAGATTTCTATAGCAGCTAATTTTGCTCTATGTTTATAGATCTCTATTTTCTACATAAATTTGGAAAGTCCATAACACTTTTTATCTCTCTTTGTGGCTTGATTAATTCATAGCAATCTTTTTTAATTTTTTTTGGTTTCCCAAGACAGGGTTTCTCTGTGGCTTTGGAGCCTGTACTGGAACTAGCTCTTGTAG